AGAGAATAACTATGATTTATGTTAAGACCAACGCGAAACAAAGGCATTTGCCCATATCTCTTCCTCCCTCTCCCAGATTTTGTAGAACCTCTGGGAAATTTTAAAGTGCTTTGAAGATGAGAAATTGTATGTGAGCATCAAGTATTACTGCAATGATTTGTTAGCATTCTGTCTTGGTACATATGCATAACAGCTGAAGTATTGCAGAAATCCAAAGCGAAGTTCAAATCCCACAAACCGTATTTATAACTATCTTCCTGCCGAACTAAATAATGCTACCAGTAAAAATAGCCCCAGGGATTTTGGGGGAGTGGGAAGGGAGGATGGTTAGGAGACTGAAGGAGGGAAGATGAGTAAAAGGTAGACATAACATCTCTCCGAGCAGCCAGAGTGCGTGTTCTGACACAGCATATGAACATCAAATTGAAGAATCCTTTAATGTCTTCAGAATGTTAATATGAAATGCAAAACGTCATGCTTTGGATAGATGGGTAGGAACAAAATGTTCAGATGCAATATGGTGCATTAAGAACAGTCTCCATTCTGCATTCCTGGCTTTTCCATTGGTTTAAATCAGGCATGCTGTTTCTCAGGTCTCTCGTGTCATGTTGACTTACTGCTATAGTCATCTCTAAAAATAATTATACTGTCGTTCCTGGGACCTACAGTTGAGGCTTTGGTATAACAATCTTTGAATATTTTTTTATTATTATTTTGCAACTGTTGATGCAACATAGTTCTTTACAATACACGTACTTAATGTAGTTCCTAACGGGTTCCCACCCTACAGAGCTTTCAATTCAAAGCAGACAGATCTTGTAGAAGGAAGGAAAGAGGTGTTATGTTCTACCTTGTCTGCCAGAGAAGTGGTGGTTTTCTGGGGACAGAGGAAGCACTGTAGTTTTTCCTACATAGGGTATAATATCGATGCTTTTTAGCATCTTCATGGTAAAATCCCGGTCTTCACTAGGATTTTATAATGAGACAGCGAACAATTAGTAATTATCCTCTAGTAAAAGAAAAGCTCTATTTTCAGGCAGTGCTTTCCTGCATTATACTGACAGAGTGATGGAAGTTTAGAAGAGATGGAAAGCAGTTTTTCTAGCAAGAAGCTGGCTGGAAAAAGATGAGAAAGGAGGCAAAAAGAGAAAACAGTTTTTTACCTGTTTCATAGTTGTTTGCCATGACCTTTTCTTCTCAAGCCTTGCTTCTCCTCTTCTGCGCCAAAACTTGATTTGAATTTGAAAATTACCACATTGTTTCCTTCCTAAAATTGTAACTGGCATTCCTCGAAAATTTGCTTTCCCAGAAAAGCCACTGTGCGTAGGCTTCAAATTCAGCTCTTCGCAAGTGAGAAAAAGACATTTTCTTCAATAACCTACACTGCCAGCCTGACCACAAAATGCGTGCGCTGGCCCATTTAAATTGGACTCTCAAGCACATGGCTCCGTTGGCCACCAAAACGCATTTATCCAGGTGTATGTATCATGCTTATTTGAAAAGCCTCCGGAGCATAGGTTTGATCCTGGGCTAGCCCAGAAGTGTGTAGAAGAGAACTTTAACATGGGTTACGTACATGGCAAGGCTGGTAAAGAATTCATAGCTGACACCTATAGATTTACTGTGGTGTGAAAGGGATGCTTATACTCTTATTAGCACCAGTCAGTGTGGCACGTCGTGCAGCGGCAAGAGATGCTGCAGGTAACTGGACAATTCACCTTCTTCCTCCTCCCCTCATCTTGGGATGGTGTTACACCTGCCCCTACCACAACGTGCAACCACATAGTTCTCCTGTATGCTGGCAGTCTCAGGAGGGGTTTTGTTCGAGGTGAAACCACCTCCACTTCTGTGCCACAGTTCACACGGAAGTGACAGCAGTGACAAAACGCGTGGGCAGTGTTGCTTGCCGTGAGCAACTCAAAACTGAATTTCAGCCCGTTTTATTGTGGCACTTCAAGTGTGCAGAGCAAGCTTCAGGCTCCAGCAGTTGTGGATTCAGTTTACACATGCGTGACAAAAAGAGGAGAAAAAAAATCAAAGGATAGTTGCAGTGACTCATATAATTGAGAGTCCCATTCAGATGCAGAGCATTAAACAGAACTTGGAATTAGTAATACTGCAGAAAGAACAGAATGTAAAATATTTCCAGGGTGGAAACAACGTGACTTTTTACATAGCTGACTTAGTAGCCCACTGCTTCAAAGCTTCCACTGTCACTGTCGCACCAAAGACAGCCTTAAACGTAAGGTTTGTGTTCATGTAGAAGTCTGCGCTCACAGTCTTGCCTAGGCCTGCTGGTAGTTGTACGCATTTTCCATATTTATGCAGCTGATTCAAAGAACAAAAAAGGAAAGGGTGAGTTGCTACAAGCGCCCCGGCCAGGTTGGGGTAGGGGAAGCAAGAGGGAAGACCTGTGGCCTGACAGAAGAAGGTGGTTTTGAGGCTACAAGGAAAAATGGTCCATAAAAGTTATTTATTCACCTAAAACAAGTATAGTACTTCTCTGTTCCTGAAAAAAGTCCCCTGGACCTGTATCAGTTTGGGATGCTGGTTTGGATGGTGATTCATGATGGGAGCCTCTGCAGAGTGCTCTGAAGCACCTTCTGGATGAGCCAGTTCCTCCAGTGACTGCAAAGGCGGCCTCGGGATTTTTCCCTCCCTCCACTGAGGTTAGTCTGTATGAATATTTCAGAGTTTTCATTTAGCTCTCTTCAAGTCTTTCTGAAGATGTCTCATACAACACTTCCTTAGAATTTTAATTTTGTACCTTTTAAACTCCAACCAAGACAATTTTCTTGTCTATGATTGCATTGATTATAGAGCAAGAAACGTCATGTCTGGACAGAGCAGGATCCAAGTGTCCCAGGGTCCTTCCTGTGGCATTGGCTATGGGAGATGCTTAGGGAAGAGTGTAGGAACACCCTGAGGGTGATCCACCTGTGAAGGCATGCCCTTCCATTGACCAGTGCTTTAGAAACTTGTGGGGTCAGTTTACACGTGTGTGACAAAAAAAGGAGAAAAAAAAATCAAAGGATCGTGTGCACCCAGACCCAACAGCAGTCTGAAATCAAAGGACATCTCCTCCGCGAGTTTGTCTAGTCCTTGTTTGAACTCAGTTATACTCCTAGCCACCATACTATTCTGTGGCAGTAATTTCTATGCTTTAATTTTGTGTTGTTGATTAACCCCAGCTGGAATGGATACAGGAGGCTCAAGATTACTCATCTCAGAGGCTCTCAAGGTCCTCAGTTTTATTGGTCG